TGTGCTAATTCTGCACATTCCAAAGAAAATACTAGCGCTTGACTGATTCCTGGGAGATAAGCTCTGAACCCCAGGCATATCCTGCCTGATAAGAATGTTTCAGTAAGTCTGAGGCCTCTGCTACACTGTATGAGTCACAGGAGATAGTTTATACTAATGAGATGACTTAGGGTAAACAGCTGCTTTCAAGGGCCAGATGTGCTGAGCCACGTGGTATTGGTTTGAGGTCGGGGGGCTGCAGACTGAGTAGGTTAGTCATCCAGGAGCTGTATGCCTATGTGACTAATGTCCAACAAAAACCCTGCGCATCAAGGATCAGGTGACCTTCCCTTCATGAATATGTCCCATTGCATTACCGGAAAAGTCGAGCTCTGTCCTTGTGACTCCAGTAAGAGGGGAGAACTCTGGAGGCTTGGGTCTGGTTTCTCCTGGCACCTCCATCCCAGGTACCTTTTCCTTTGCCACTTTTGATCTGTAATTTTTTACCGTAATAAACTGTACCCATGAGTATTATGGCTTTTCTGAATCCTGTGAATCCTTCTAGCGCATCCAGTCTGAAGTTGGTCTTGGAGACCCTCAGCCATTCACTCACTGTATGCTAGCCGTATGCCCTCAGTTAAGTGACTTCACCTCCTTGAGTTTCACTTTCCTCATCTGTAAGTGGGGATGGCAATGGTGAGAATGATAATAAGTAATAATAATGGCTGCCTTAGAGCTAGCTGTAAGTTCTAGCACTCAGTCTACACTTTATTTTATCCACAAGCACAGCTTGAGAGCTACTCTAGAAATTCTAGGAAACTGTAAAGTGCCAGCACACAGCATATACACCAGTCTATTCAGTGAAAGCCTTCCCTTAAGCAATCTCCTTCCCAAGTTCTCATGTCTCCCTTCTCCTGACACCCCAAGATACAAATTTTTGAACTAGGAAATCTAACCTCATTAGTCCAATCTTTTCATGCTTCACGAACATCATTTTCTTCTTATCCATTGTTTCCTTTGCATTTTCATCCAAAAATCATTCTCCTTCATAGAGATGTCAGGCAAAGCTAGTGCTTTGCTTAGGCTTTGCCACCCTTTTAGCCTCAGATAGTAAATCAATCTTTTTCCTCGATCTTCTTTAGAAGTTTATTCTTATTTTCTTTTGTGGTCTCTGGGACTTTTTTCCTATTCCCAGATCATTTGGATTTCTGCTTTTCTGGCCTTATTCCTACCTATTTGCAATAGGTAGGAATAGTATTAGTGTTTTATAATCTATGCATCCTTTAAAAACACTCTTTGCTCAATTGAAAAATTATTTAATTGCTACCATTTTTCCTATTTACAAAATAAATGTATGGTCAAAGTTAAAACATTAACAATATTTATGCCTTAGAAAGAAAACTTTCATAGACGTCTACCTCTATAAAAACCATGACCTCTTTCCTTTAGGTGTATAAGCTCAGAGCAGAGCTCCGAATGCAGCCTGGTTTCTGTGACTACAGTCCCTGACATTCACAATGGCAGCAAACTTTTTGGAGAGTTTTCCAGCTCTCTCAAATTTCATGCAACGAAACATGCCCATCTTTTCTCTGAACTAAAAAATATATATACCTTTCTAAGTCTATGGTATAGATTGAGCATCTTTGATACTCTCTTCTTATAAGAAACTTTTTTGTGTGTTTCAACTTCAGTTTTATAGTGAGGGTCAAGACAATATGGTTTATATGTCTACATGAAGCACTATTTTTAATGATTCTACCATCTGTAAAATTGCACAGATGAGCCACAGTTGTAGAATTTGTAAAGCATCACTTGCCCAAGCATACATGCCTATGGCAAGGATCCAATAAGTGTCCCAGGAATACAACCATGGAGAAGCCAGTGGCAAATCTGGAATAAAACCTGAAAGTCATGCCAACTTTTGAGTCTTGTTCGAGGCACATGAGTAGTCAAGAACAGTATGGAAGTTGGTCTAGAAAGCTGGAATTTTATGATATGGCATTAGGTAATCTTATTTCTTTGTCTTAGTTCCAAACATATAAAATGGAGATAAAAGCATTTGGGGCCACATGAGGTAAGTTACACTTGGAATACACATCTATTATTTTGTGTGTACAGTACTCCACTTTTCTGAGAACTGGCATCAAATCTCCTCTATCTACATCAAGAGTGTCAAACTCATTTTCATCGGGGGCCACATCAGCCTCGTGGTTGGTTCCCTTCAAAGCTTCAAAGGCCCGAATGTCATTTCAACTCTTTACTCCTTAACAGAGTAAGTTACATTTATACAGTCCTAATATTACCCTTGTCCCTTTGAAGGCAACCATGAGGCTGACGTGGCTCCAGGTGAAAATGAGTTTGACACCCTGATCCACATGGTTTCTGCTGGAGCTGCCACCATGTTCATTCATTCATTTATTCAACAATTACTTACTGAGTGCTGTATCTGACACTATTCCAGGCAGGAGATAAAACACACAAAAATTCCTCATGGAGCTTACTTTCTGACGGGTGAAATAAGACATTAAACAAAATAAGTAAGTATTTTGTAGGTCTGATGAAATATGCAATTGAGAAAAATCAAGCAAGAAAGTGAGTGAGGAAACCTACTGCGGTTGAGAAATAAAATGAAGGAAGCACTATGTTTCGTAGGGGGCTGGGAGTGACTTCATCCTGAATGTTTTTGGAATTGGACCAAAACAGGATGGCTTTAAACCAAGAATGTGGAATGAAGAGAAGAAAAAAAAAAGCCTGCTAAAATCAGAAGAGAAGAATAAAGAAGACATAAGAGGGGAGCATACAAGGCAAATGTAGGTGGAGAAAGAGAGAGAGAACAAGAGAACTTCCCAGATTCTGCATAACTTTCCAACATACATCTGATGAGTCATTTTAAAATGTCTTTTTGAAAACCCAAAGCTGGTATGAATCAAATTCTGTCACTCCTAACCAAAGAATCCTCACTCACACATATATTAAGTAAGAGAACCTGTAAATTCAAGGCTTGTCCAATGTCGGAGATGTGAGTTACTTCAGAAAATTAGAGGTTGGTGCTTTGATGCCAAGAATACAGACTTGGCAGCAGAGTAGAATAAATCTTGCTGTTCTCTAGCATTCCAGAAATAAAAAATATTCAAGGAATATCCATGTCTTTGTTTTCTTTTAATCAAGTTAGCTCTGATTCTGCATTGGGCTTGTGGAAGATTCAAATGGAAGTATTATTTTTCACCCTTAGTTCTGCCCTCCTTCCACCCCTCACCCAGAGTCACAATAGAATTAGGGAAGCTTACTGATGTCTAGACACTAAATAGAGGTTCTCCAATCTCCAAGTCATCATAGCCGAAGTCTCCCTCAAACTTTCTCTGACCGTTCCTGGCTCTCTGCTTCTATACCAGGAGGAGAGAATAGAAACCTTTGCTAAAGGTAAAAGATGCTTGGCCCCCTGGGGTGCAGCCATTCCCGTAAGAAGTCTTGCTACCTTCCAGGAAGATCTTGAAGTAGGCTCAGGTATCTACTAATCCTGGGACCTGTCAATCTTTCTTTCTCCTTATTCTCAAAATAATTCTCTTCTCGCTTGGCCGCCAGGGCACCGCTCCCTGCCCTGACTATGCGTAATATTTTTACTTAGCTTAGGCTTATAATAGACCCCAGGAGTAATTTCCTTTTTAAAATTTCAGCTTTCCGCCCTGCAAAAACTTCCCAAAGATTGTTTTCAGCCTTTCTCTTTGTGGTACAATATGCATACCATAAAATTTACCATTTTCACTGTTTATAAGCATACAGTTCTGAGACTTTAAGTACCTTCATATTGTTGTGCACCCCAGGAGAGCCTGGTGATCTGACTGAAATAGGGAATGGTGAAAATATGAGAAGAAATAAACATTGTCTTTAAAATATTGTTCTTCCATGTGTTTGTTGGTCTTCAAATAGGGTCCCCTAATTGGTGAATTTGAGCAGCTAAGAGGCATCATTAGGATATTAGATATGAATGTGTGAGAGGATGAAGAGAAGGAAGGGCAGCTGTAAAGAAACTTGGGAAAACAATAGAGAGAAACTTAATCTCTCTGACCATACTCATGATATGCTTTAATGCATCTGGAGCAGAAGTAAAATGAAGAATTTTTCTCCACTCTGCCTCATGCCAGGACCAGAATGATGTTCCTGAATTTTGCTGTGGAGTGAATATCTTCTAGAGAGGCTTCACATGGAAAGTAAAGTTTAATTTTATGCATCGCAGCAATGCCTTTTGATACCTAAGCAATGTGTTACCAAGGAATGCAATCCACAGAAGAGTTAAAATTAAAAATCTTGGAATGATTAAGAATTGCATGTGGCTTATTGTAGTTGGAAGGTGGACGGAATGCCTGAGGGGCATTAAAATAAGCCCATGTGGTTTAGAATTAGCTGTGCCTAGAAGTTTCTTTCGGCAATTTGAAGAACTAGGATCCATTTATTCACTTCCAAATAGTTATTTAAGGGCCTACTACGCGTGAGGCACTGATGGACGGTACAACAGTGAACAAAGTAACTTGGCTCCTTCCTCTAACAGGCCTAATATGCTGGTGTATTTTGATTCTGAACCGTAAATCCAAGAGCACAATAAATTGAATGAAGCAAAGGAGCCGAGGTTCTTCACAAGCGCAGCAAAAGTCAGAATTTCAAGTTTTCTATTCTTGGATGCTGGGTCTTACTAGTTCTGCAAGGGCAACGATCAGGGAGCATGTGAAAAGATTTCCCGCCGAAAATACACACAGACTTAGTGTTCCGGTTCGGCAGCTTAGGATTTGATATCTAAATTATACCCACGGCGCCAAACTCACACTGCCTAAGAAGCAAAAGAGCTTGTGGGGGAAAAACCACTTGCTCCAACAGAGCGCACAGCCACCTGTCAGCCAGCAGAGGCCATGGACTACACTTCCCACAAGCCCTTGCGACCCGCTCCGCCTACGCACGACGGCGAAGTACCGGGAAGCTGGGAGGTCAGGCGCGTTTTCTGTGGCGTCATCAGCGTGCGACTCCAGAAACAAACCGTTTTGGGTTTCAAAAGCATGGCTGCTCCGGAGGTGGCGGCGGCGGTGTCGTCGTCTCTGGGAGCAGACCCAGCCCAGGTCCCTGAAACTGCAGAAACAGCTGCAGCAACGGCCGCTACCTCGCCAGCGATGGCCAGGACCGGATCCGAAGCCATGGTCTCCAAGGCCGCTTTGGCTACTAAGCTGCTGTCCCTCAGCGGCGTGTTCGCCGTGCACAAGCCCAAGGGGCCCACTTCAGCCGAGCTGCTGAATCGGCTGAAGGAGAAGCTGCTGGCAGGTACTGCAGCCCGGGTGGGGTCCAAGCCGAGACGGTCGCCGCGAGAGCGGAAGCCGCAGAGAGCACCCTGGGCTTTTTGGCGCGTTCAGGATTCAAGAGATAAAAAGAAGGGAAAGGGCAAAGGACCACTGCCTTAGCCCTTTAGAAATCTGGGGCATCTCAGGCTTGGACTCGCCCTGACGTGAACTCCTGTGGCCTAGTTGGCAGCTAGTGCTCTCAGGGGAACAAAGCTGAACAAAACTCTTGCACACACCAATAAACCTCAGCTCTTGAGCTTGCAGACCAACTTTTTTGTAATCTGATCCTAGAGTAGCTCTTTGGCTCCCGTTGGTGAACCCCACCCAAGGGAAGTACTGACTCAAAAGCTGTGTTAAAAAAAATGTTGGAAGTGCAGATATTATTTGGTTAACGAAGCTTTAATCAATGGTTTTCACATAGCAGGCATAAGAATTACTTAGGGTCCCTAGTACAAGTGCAAAGTCCTAACCCTTGTGTTCCCAGAGATTGTAATTCTGAGGGTCTTGGGTATTTTTAGGAAGCCATACTTTTAAACTGTTGCTCCACATAATTCTGGTGTCAGTAGTCTGCGGACCACATTTTGGAGAACACTGAATATAACTTGGTCACTTCTCTAAGAGCGTTCTTTTTGTTGGTTTCATCACATACACTGGAAGAGAATTAGCAAAGCTTGAAGATTCTCTCAGTTCATCTGCCTGTACATCATTTCAGACAGTGGCATCAAGGAACCGTAGTACCGGACACTGACAATAAACCCAGATCTGTGCTAGCCTATAGAGATGTGAAGATGAAAGATACTGTCTCATCCCTTAACTGAGCCGGTAGCCTAGTAATTTCTGGTGGTAAACTATTCGCTACATACGGAAGACCCTCCAGAGTGTGACCCTGGCCTGTCTTTCCATTAAACCAGTGCAGGAACTGTCTTAACATTGTTTAGTAGCCCCTGGCATACTTTACACTTTAAAAAAAAATATGAAAACAAATCATTCTGGTAAGAATTTGTTATTTAAAACATACACAATACAGATTAAAATGTTTATTGGAGATAGGTGTGCTTCTGCAGATGTTTAATTCCTATCTTATAGCTCATTCTTTTGTTCAGTTTTCCTGTGCAGGGATGGGCGGTATAGGAGATGGTAAGAGAAGGAATTGCATCAGGGACAAGTTCTGTTGTGCTGTCAAAAGTTGTTCCCTTTCAGCCAAATCGCTGCCTTCATTTGGCCTGATTTGTTAGCTAAACTGAAGGCTTTTTTGTTCCTCAATAATGATTACCATTCTTTGTCTCAGACAGGTTTCTGGTAGGATAAAAGCCATATCCTGGCTCTGGTTAATGTGCCTCCGAGAACTAGATTCTTCTTGAAACTCAGTTAAAACATTGTGTTAGGGTATTGCCGGGCCATCTTCTGGAAACCACCCGGAATGACGTCCGCTGTGGAAATTCAGGGCGCAGCCATGACCTCCATTCCATTCCCAACAAAATTCTACCAGAATGTTGTTGGCTTCATTGGAGTTGCATTTTCCTCAGTGTAACCATCTGGTATGCTGAGAACTGTTGGTTTGCTTACTGCTGCATCTCCTCAGTGTGGCTGTTAGTTTGGTTACTGTTGTGTCTTGGTGTGACTGTCAGACATAGACATTCTCATTGCTGCTCTCCATTTCTGTATTGCCTGTGGTTGACCTGTTCTGTATTTGTATTAGCTAGACCAAGCCTTCCCAGATGCCTTTGTGACAGGCTATTATAATTGCCTAGGAAGGTTCTTAAAGATACGGATTCCAGGACACCGTATTCTAATGCCAGCCCGGTTCAACAACCACACTCAGTGGTCATGGCCCTTGTGTGCAACAACCTTGCCTTTCCATACACTGATTCATGTCACACTAAAATCTCTGCTCTTTTTTTTGTGTGTGTGTGTGTTTTTCAAGGCCTGAAACATCAGAATCTTATAGCTAGAAAAGACCTTACTGAATATTCACTGGTGCATGGCTCCAGTGGGGAGAGCCAAACTCCAATATGGTAGAGGTGGCAGTATGCCTTTGAACTTGAAAGAGGTAAATTTGGACACAAAGAGAAGACAGTAAACGTAGAAGCTTTCCTACTCCAAGGAATGTCAGGTTGAAAATACGAAGAGTTCCCTAAAAGCCTTCTATAAACTCATGGATGAGAGATGCATGACGGTTGCAAGTGAAAGGAGGAGAGTGTGAAGCCCAGGTCAGGCCGTACAGGTTTACATTAAAGCAGCCATGCCCTTCCAAGCGGGGTGATCTTGAACTCGGAAAGACCCTGGGACTGGGTTCCAGACACTGGTTGTGTCCTGGTAGCAAGGCTGAGCAACCCAGCACCAATTTTTTTTGGGGGGGGGGTGCATTTAATCTAGCTTTCCACAATTGCTTTGCTTTCCCTCTTTTCCTCTTTCTCTCCCCTCTTTTCATTTTCTTTTGCTGTATCTTCTATCTTCCTGATGTCAGTAGTGGCAAGGCAGGTTTGACAGGCCAGGGTCAAAATAGCTGTTTCTGCTCCTCCTCTTTCTTATCTGAAGTCCCATAGCCAATATTCTTTCGGTGTTGTTGTATATGCCAAAATAATAACAACAACTACTACCTACTCTTAGAGTGTTTTGTCAATTCTAAAGCACTGCCAGATAACTTTGCAATTTGTCCTTAACATTAGGAATATGAAATAGGCCAGGTTGGCACCCTCTTTTTTTCTTTCCTTTAAATCTAAATGCTTCAGAGGTTAAGAAGCAACTTAACTGTTACCTACTTCCTACATAATCTTTTGTGGTGGTTAGCTTCTTAAAGGGATTGGGGGCTTTGACTGGGAGAGAAGGACAACGAATACAGACAGTTTGGGAACATAGTGTTTTGGGAAGCAGCCCTGCATGAGATGTACTCCCAGCATTAAGTACTGGGGTGGGGGACGGGGTACCAGAACACTGGGAAGCAAAGGATGTTTAGAAATGAAAGGAAGGACATTTAAAACTAGCTGCCTACATGAAAATTACCGCTTGTCATCGTTATCTAACAGCCCACTACTACCAGCAGTTTGCTAGATTTCTATGGATTGGCATGGACATTGTCTACTTTTTTTAAATGTTACTTTTTAAAATGATGAGGAAAGGAATTGTAGTTTCTAGATGACTCATTTTTGAATACTATTTCTTTGTAATTTAGAGAGTATCTGTACATTTTTTAAATCTGTTCTTTGCTAGTAATGTCACAATCTAAATATGTTACATTTATATAATAGTTTTCATTGGTTTTAAATACTTCATGCACCCTCCCCCGATATTTGTGAAGATCCTACTTCATTCTTCTTGGTCTTGATAATTACCTTTTCCGTCCCAATTACTCTGTAGAAGCTGGCATGCCTTCTTCAGAATGGACCAAGAGGAAAAAGCAGACTTTGAAAATCGGGCATGGAGGAACTCTGGACAGCGCAGCCCGAGGAGTTCTGGGTAAGAGATGTGCATGGGAGTTTCGTGTAACTGTCACTTAATATCAGAAGGAAACACTGATTGAGAACAGATAAGATAGAGATAAGACAAAGCCTTGACATTTTCAGTCAACTTTGGGATCTTTCGGGTCTATTGGATTTACAGTGCCATTTTCTAAAGAAGCCTTTAAACAGCATGAGGTATACAAGGCCATTAGAAATAGCCTCTTCCATGTGTGGATGGGACCTATGTGTGAGAAGGGGTTTGTATCTGTGTAGGAAAGAATTAACATAGCAGGCCTCAAAGTGCTCTTTTTAGAAAGCCTGCTAACAAGGCTTGCCCTTCACTGGCCACTGGGAACCTGTGAGTTTCTCTCTCCACCCTTCTGTCTAACAGGGGTGGTTTATTCTGCCTTAGCTGTGTGAACAAGGCGTTCACACCGAACACATGCTTTTCCTCTTGGAGTGCAGAATTTTGTCTCCCCCCGCCACACACACGCACACAAGCAGAGGATGCCTGAGGGACCATCCCTCTCATCTCCCCGCAGTAAAAGCTTGGGGTGCTGAGTTTCTGCTGGGTTTCCCTGAGCAGGAACATTGTGTACGTTACTGCAGTTTTCATTGTTGGAGAAAGGAGCATGCTCAAGTGTCCCCCGTCCCCACTCATCAGAGAGAGAAGGAGAGAGAATAAGGAAGCCTGTGCGTGGATTTCTCCAGCGTCTTCCCCTCCGATACATTGTGTAACTTCTCTGTTGTTGTAGTAAATCTTTGCCACGTATGGGTCTTCCAGTGTGGAGTGGCCTCGGGGACTCCCAGCGAGCTATATGGTGCCTTTCTTTTTTGGCCTATATAGAATCTAATCTTTGAGATCAGCTGTTTTGAGAAGGTGAACCTTGTAGTTCCTGAGAGGAAGTCACTTTCCCTGGAGACATATCAGTTGAGCATTTTATTGCTTGAGGAAATTGGTAGAATTAATTGAGGAGCGAACAATCATTTATCCTTTTCTATGCCACCTATTTATTTTGGCATCAGGTAGAGGTTCTGGAGCCTGTCTTTATAAACTGCTAAAATGTGTATCAACAGGCTAGAGATGTGTTACAAACTTTGCTGTGACTGCATTCGTCACAGAAACACGTACATTGGGATCCCCTCACTCTCCTTTCTCACTAGAGACAACTTTTATGGAACAGTACTTACCTTTTTATACTTTAAAAGTGTTTCATACTTTACTCTATTTTATTTTTTTTAAGTGCTGATCATAAATCACCAAACTGATCTCGTGATGCACTAATGGGTTGTGACTCATGGCTTGTAAGTGCGCTACAGGATCCAATACATTTCATTAGAGCTAAGCTTAGATCCAAACAAACAACAGCAGCCTGATCTGAGTGATTCAAATGAAATGAGTGCTTATTTAAAAAGATACAATTGGTGGGGAAAATTATATTTTTCAGGAAAATTATAAACAAGGTATGGTTTTGCATTTTCTAATATTATAGATATTATTTAATTCCTGTTGGCAAAAATATCTTAACTTTGAGGTTAAAATAGAAGCAAACACCAGGAAATCAGTTTTCTTGAATTAGAGAACTTGAATAGGCAAATTCTGACCACTAATGTTACAATTTTTTACTGTAACTAATGATAGTCATTTATGAAACTCCTACATTGTGCTTAGGACATTTATAAATTGCATACCCTACCCCTTACTGAACCTACCCTATAGGGCAGGTTTTATTATCCCCATTTTACAAAAGAAAAGAAGACCCGGAGATAAAGTAATGTGTGCGTTGTCCTGGGCAGTGAGTGGCAAAATCAGGATTTGAACCCGGTCTGCGCAGTTCCAGAGCCATTGCCTGAATCCGGGGTGGCAGAAACCCGGCACCCCTGCCTTTGTTCCCTCCGCCCCACCCCCACTGCAGGGAGCACCAGTCAAGCACAGCACTCTCCGACATCGGTCCCCAGTCCGGTCCCCAGTCCCCGGTGTGGTTTCGCTATTCCTATCGTTCCAAACTCCCTGAGTTGCAGCTTGCTTGCCATCACCATCCTGTCCGACTGTTTCCCAAGCAGACCACCCTGAGTACGAGGGGAGAGAGGGGAACATCTGCTGCTTCTTTCTAAACAGACCAACTGCGTTAATTTCTGGCGGTTCTTAGTCATCAGCGTGTAGCAGTATTCAAGGCAGTGAGTGAAATAAGTTTATTGTCAGCACTAAAATTTAGGGATCTTGTCGAAGCTTCCAGTTTAGTATTACGAAGAGGGGCATTCAGCTGAGATTTGTATGTTTGGAAGTGGTTGCATTGGAAATAATTGCTCATTTGCACGCTTATTTTATATCTGAGCACACAGGCACTTTTATGACGTTGTAGTATGTTCATATGTCAGATTTCTTTTTTCTCAAACTGATGAATAAAGTTGCCAATGAGAAATAAAGCTAAACAAAACAAGGCATGTAGTCACAGCACAAGGCATGTTTGTTGTCTGAGTATTTCTGGAGACGTCAGAGAAGTTGGTCTGGGCTCCAGTCCCACGTGGGCTTGTGCACTGGCCGCTTCAGTGCCGACCACGCGCCCCGGGCCAATCCCGGACCCCATGAACGTCAGTGCTCGCCTCTCGAAAAGGGCGGTGTCTGCCGTGACGCAGAAGGCTCATCGAAGGAGCTCAAGAAACACCCGTAATATAGCGATGTAGCCTGTACCCTGTGAGCACTTTATAAAAGCCATTTAAAAAAAAAATAACTGGACCTGTGTGATGAAATATACTTTTACTTTCAACATTTTAGACTGCTTTGCTCTTTTTTTGGTAATATTAATGGTACAGATTTAAACATTTAGTTGACAGTTTAAGACAACCTGAAATTCAGGTTTGTAGTTCTGTAAACTATTATACATATATTTCTATATATTTCTGATTAGGTTACATCCCAGTAGGGAGTGACAGCGGCAGATGGGATTAATGTTGCTGATCCACTGACTCTGAGATGAAGAGATTCTCCTGGGATACCTAGTGGGCCCGGCATAATCACAAATAGTTTTTTTTAACTTTTTTTTTGGCTGTTGATATAATTACAGACGTCCCCATTTTTCCCCCTTTGCCAACCTCCACCCAGCCCTGGGTGTCTGTGGCCGTCACCACCCTGTAGTCTGTGTCTGTGGATCATACATGTCCTGTGGCTGATCCCCTCACCTTCTTTCATCCGGTCCCCCCTCCCCCTTCCCTCTGACAGCTGTCAGTCTGTTGCCTGTATCTGTGCCTCTGTTTCCATTCCGTTGTCAGTTTCAAAGGGAAAGAGGAGGCAGAGGAGAGGGACGTGGCAGTGGGAGCAGAGGTTGAAGGGATTCACTTGCTGGCTTCGATCATAAAAGAGGGTCACAAGCGAAGAGATGTGAGCGCCTTCTGGAAGCTGGAAGGGGTAGGGACCCTCCCTGGGTCTAGAGAAAGGGTCTCCCTGGGCCGCCGGAAAGAACGCAGCCGCGCCGATGCCTTGATTTGTAGTGTGAGAAAGCCCACCTCGGACAGCTGATCTCCAGAACTGTGGGATCGTAAGTGTGTGTTGTTTTATCACTCAGTTGGTAAACCAATACGCCCATTTATTATAAGTCACTTAAACTGGAAACAAATTTTCTGTGTACTTAAAATTATTATTTTTAGCTTTAGAGATTATAAAATCACAGCGTAGAAATTAGCAAATATTTAAAACAAAGTTGAAAATAAGTTATTCATTTTCTACCTTCTAGTGATAATTACTAATATTTTTGCCATATTTCCTCCTAGCTTTTTATCTATGCAAATTTTTAAAGTTCAGCTGTTTTACTGTATGTACATTTGCATCCTTTTTTACTTACATAATAACATAAGCATTTTATCATGTTAATTTAAAAAACTTTGTAAATACTTTTTACTTTATTAAGGAAAAATTGACAAATATAGTTGTATATATTTAAAGTGTTGCTATTATATCAGGTGTCTTCTCTGACCACTGTGATATGAAAATAGAAAACAGTCACAGGAAGAGAGGTGGAAAATTCACAAATATGTGGAAATTAAACAGCACACTTCTGAACAACCAATGGGCGCAAGAAGGAATCAGAGGGAAGTCAGAACATGCAAATGAAATGGAAGCCCAGCACCCCAACACCTATGGGACGCGCACAAGCAGCCCTGCGAGGAGTGAATGTTATTTTGAATAGCAACAGCAATGTAAGGGGTTCTCATATGGGGAAAATACAACTTACTTAACCATTTCCCTATTTGAAATCATTGCAGTTACCAGAATTTTGTTAGTAGAACTCAGTTTGGTGGGGAATGTCTTTATGAATAAATTTTTTTCTTTTATTATTAAGATACATTCTTAGAAGTGGAAAAATACACATCTTTTAAGATGATTGCAAGGGCATCATAGAATTAAATAAACGGTAGTAGGAGCTTCCAGTTGCAAAAAGCTTTAGAATCGCACGTGTCTTTTCCTTGCCTCTCCTAAAGTGGCTCTCGTTATATATAAAATCTATCTTTATGGTTTGAGGGTGGAATACTAGGCCATTGGAACAGGTTTGGGACTAGTGAGTTTTTGACAAAGAAACACTTGAGCACAGAAAATTTGGGAGACAGACAAAGCAACACTTGGGAGACAGTCCTTAGAAAGCCCTGTTACTTATTCTCTTAATTCGCCACAGTCTTTTCAAACTGTTTTATCTTTGCAATGCTGTTTTCTCAGCCAAATTTCCCATTTCTGTCTCCTTTAGTGTAGAAATCCTACTGGCCTTTCCAGGTTCAGCTGAACTGCTGTCTCCTACATGTGAAGCCTGCCTGCTTCTCTATGTTGCTAATGTGAAAGTTCATTCTGTTCCTTGTTTTTGTGACGCACTGGGCTGGAACCAGGTCTTACTCATTTCTGTACCTGTACAGCAAGCACTGAGTAAAATTTTGATTGCTTGAATGGGACAGAGTTGAGTAAAATGTGTGTCCACTAAACTGTACCTTGAATGAAAGCTGCTTGTTGGCTGGTTCTCAGCTCCTGCTCATTTTTCTGTGAGCCACTTCTGTGTTAGTCTTCCTAAAATGTTGCATTAGCCTTCCTAAAGTTCTGCTTTCGCTAATCACTGGGCTTCAGTGGGCCTTGGTTTTCTTGGGTACAGATGAGAGGGTTAAGCTGGATAACTCCAAGATGCCTTCTTGTTTTAAATTTTATTATTCTGGATGACCGAACTGGCAGGGAAATGAGTTTAGCATTTCAAATGACAAAGCTAAACATGCCAGCCTGCTCTTAAGACACCCCCAGCCCCTCCCCCACACTCTGATAAAACCACTGTGCTCGTCCTTGTATCTGAGAACATGCCTGTGTCCCTAGAACAGGCTTCTCTTCATCTCCGTGTTCACATTGTGCATCCTTCAAGGCCTAACTGAAACTGTTTGACGTGCCTGAGTGAAGTGCTCTCTGGTCTCTTCAGCCAGTTACGGTGCTCCCTCCTCACCTCCTACAGCAGCTGTTCTCTCGGTGTTCATGCCGACACCTAATCACATGCTGTTGCATTGTTATTAGTGTTATTCACGTAGTCATTCGGGCAGCGTTTGTTTTTGAGCACTTGTGATCCCTCTTGTTTGCATTGTGTTTTCCCTGTGAGGTCATAAGCTTTTTCAGAGTCAGAAAATGTGCTGTTCCACCCCAGGTCTTCTTGGGACTGTGCAGAGTAGCCGCAAGGACTGTTGGGTGGGGTTCCTGAAAGGAGCCGGAGTTCATTGTTCTGCTGAGTGTCTGCCTCTGTAGCAGCGGCTGTCACTTGAAGAGTACTGTGTTCCATAGAGCATTCCAGAGGCAGACGGTGTTTTGTCTCATCCCTGAGTTAATATGACTGTTATCACGGGAGCTCGGGGTTGGGGTGGACTTCAAATAAAGGAGTCGGGATTTGAGCTGGGTTTCGAAGGGTGGACTTGGATTACCGTACAGAGGGATCGGTAGTATAGGCATTGGGGCCCTGTTGAGAGTTGCCGGGGAGGCGGTTGTAGTGTACGGTGCACATTTTCAGAGATGGTATCCATTGGTAGAGGGATATGTCAGCTGCAGGGAAGTCAGGTTCACAGTGGTTTCGGCTGACTTAGGCCGGGGGCAGGAAGTGGGAAGAAAGCCTAGGCGGGTAAGGTGGCAGGGAGGGTGGAAGACGAGACGATCTGCTGTTAGACGATCGGGTTTAAATTTGAATTCGACCATATACTAGTTGTGGGGGGCTAGGCAAAGTTGTTAGTCTGTTTCAGTTTTCTTATCTATAAAACAGGGATCGTTGTGTTACCTTCTAGGGTTGCTGTAAGGATTTAATGAGCTAGTGAATGGAAGACATTTAAAGTGGGGTTTGATAGGTGGTGAACTCAGTGAGTAGTAACTGCTGCAAATATTCCTGAGAACCGGGCTTGCCAGTCATGCCTCCTTCTTGTGATTTTGAACTGCAGGGGTTATATTGTGTTCTTTTACAAAATGGTGTCCATTGATGAGAAAAGACTCCAATTCTTACAAAATTATCTTGCTATTTAGTGAAGAAATGATTGTCTTCTCACCCTCAGCTGGTGAGATGTGCTGTCGTACGGTTAGACGATGGTCAGCATGGGAGAGACAGGCGGGCCACTGCCGTGCTTTACGTATGTGTGGTCTGCGTGGACACGTTCTCCAGGTGCACCCTCCCCGTGACGTCTTATTCGTGTTGGGCTGCCGTCTTATGCTTCTGCTTTTTTGATTGTGTACTGCTGGGTAATAATCATATTTAGATGGTTCATTAGCTATGATGATGGCTTTTGCTTTGTTTAATAATGAACTGTCAAAAGACTATCAGACCATGGTTAGTGATACCGTGTACTTTTCACGGGTGCCTGTATAAATTCCAGGGAATCCTTTAAGGTTTTTCTAAAACTTGTTATTATCTAAATGACCAGGTTGAGTTTTCTACCATGTTTTGTACTTTGGGGAAGAAAAAGAATCTCCCTCCTGTTCCTCGTCAGGCTTTTCCTAGTTGCACGACAAGTCCAACGGGTTGGAGTAGTGGGGGGGCCCCCAGAGGATGCTGAACGCACGCTCTTTCCAACTTGACAGAGCAGGTGCCAGGGAACTACGGTCAGATTATGTAGATATGTTAAAGACCTCCTTTGCAAAATAGAGTGTCATAATATTTCTTTCTTTGATTTGTAGTGGTTGGAATTGGAAGGGGAACAAAAATGTTGACCAGTATGTTGTCAGGGTCCAAGGTAAGAATACAGAAGTGGTTCTGTGTTTCTTCTTTTTTTTTCTCGAATATTTTTCTTAATGACCATGTGTTGGATTTATCAATTAAAAATAAACTATATAAATTTGCAAGAGTGTCAATTCCGAGTATTCATCACAATATCTATAATTATGATATCTGAGAATTCAAATTTGAGACTAAATTCAAAATTCAAGATTGAAAGGCAAAATTGACTTATGGAAACAAAAACTGTGCTGTGCCCCAAATTTTAAAAAATTGTATCTGGTTTCTTATATAATTATATTTTTTAGGTGAAAGGGAACTTACAGATCATAAATTCTATTGGCAGATTTTATTAAGCCTTGGAAAACATGCACTTTTCAGCAGAAGACATGCTTTCTTCATGGTTGCAAATGTTTGCCAAAGAAAAGAATTGGGCTTCTGTAAGGTGATAGGCACTTTTTGAGGCTCTTGAAAGGAGAGAGAGGAAAGGTCATGCAGAAGCAGGGGGGGGCGACACCAGTGGGTTGCTTCAGGCCGTCAGTGAGCAGCCTGCAGGGGGGAACCAGGATGAAGGGGCACCGAAGCAGGATGTCAAAGTGGTTAACCTTTCTGGGCCTTTCAGTTTTTCCTTAGGAAAAATGATTTGATCCTCTCCAGGGTCTCTTCCAGCTCTAAGAGATAATGACATCTGTACCCTAATTAGTTACTAGGTCCTAATAGTTGGGGCCAGGGACCAGTGAAAATGCCTGTGGGAGGAAAATTCATATGTCATGAGGTAGAGAAGAATTTCAGCAAGTCCCTGGACTAAACTTTGTGTTTTAAAACTTGCTGTGAATGGGATATAAATAGCTGGTAAAGTGATTTTGTCTAAATTGTTTCTTTTTAAAAAAAGTGGTCAAAGACCATTAAAGTTTTTTTTTTTTTCATTGCAGACTAATTGATGACTTTGTAAAATATAATTAAAATGCTATGGAAGTGTCAAATTGCTGTATAAGTTTTAAACACTCTCATTTTCTGAAATTAAACTTGTCATGGATATTGGACCTTGGGCCACACTTTGAGTGGTGTTGGTCTTGATGCCCAAGGGCAGCCTCCCGGACTGCTGGGTGTGGGCTGAGGGTGGGGACTAGGAGGGGTCCCTGGGGGAGATGGAGCTCCGCCCTGGGAATGGGACCTGGAAGCCTCAGCATGCAGCCAGACAATACCTTTGCAAGCTGCCCAGGGGCCATGGCAAGCACATTGAGTTTCTCTGCACTTCTGTGGGTCTGTGCTCGATTGAGCTCATGTCTTTGGGCACTCTGCCTCAAAGGCTGTGGGGTTCCCGGAGTTCCTTCACTTAGGCTGTTGGTTTGGTTGCTCTCTGCGGGTGGGCCCTGAGAGGGAGCACTTGCTCCTTATCAGGACTAGGGTGTGGGGTGTGGGAGGTGCAGAGCTGACAGCACCAGGGAGTCTCCCCCAAACCCCAGGCAAGATGGCACCTGGAGGAGGTTCTTACACTGAGGATGTGTAAGGCTAACAAGATACTAAAAGGGAAAAAGCTCTCCTCCCTGCTTCCAGTACCAGATTCAGGGTGGGAACAGGAAGGCAGGCCACCTGTGCGGTACAAGTTAAAATGGGCAGCGGGAGGTGCTGGACTGGAGAGGCCTGTCGGTCTACCCCGGGGAGAGAAGGGATTGATTGGGAGGTGGACCCACCCGAGGGCGTGAAAGTTCGGGAAGTTAATTGGTCGTTCTGGGAAGGCACCTGGCCTGCCCCACACTCAAACCTAATAGAAATCCAGGGGAATGAACACTCTCTCTCATTGTTTGCTGCTCAGGACCAGCACCCAGAACATGCACTGGCCTGTCCTCTCCATGGACCATGTGACTGCGAAGTCACATGGCCTGTGGCCTCCAGGAGGGAGTCTCTCTTGCTGACTTGGTGGAATATTCGCCAGTGCATTCATGTGCTTTGTGGCCTGGGAGCACGGGATCTTGTGGGCCTAGAAACCACATGGCTGATGGTGGCACCAGCTCCACACGCAGCCTCTGGGAGGGAGCCTAGGCTGGACAGCAGCTGGGAACAGGTTAAGCTTCCAGCATGGCCACTTAGCAGACACCTTGAGCTCTAAAAGCACAGCGCTTTAAAATGGAGCGGGAACTCTGGGCATTGCCTTTTGTTTTGGTCTTGCTGAGGATGCTGGGTTTTCTGGGGATTTGCAGAGGAGCTGAGCTTTGGGACCAGGAGTCCCCCATTCTCCCAGATTATTCAGCATCCAAATAAAAACCTCTTTCAGTTCTCACAAGCCTCTGCCTCTAGAGTTTGCCTTTTAGTGGCAGCGGGCAGCTGAACCCCCTTTTTGTTCACTAACGATCTACACAAGCTTTTCTTCAAAAGCCCTGGAGAGCACATTGCCTTTGATGTTACATTTTTAGTTCTCAACTGACATAAAACCCGAGTCTTTCAGTTGGAACAGCTCTTAATGCCTGAGATAAATGGAAGAATAATTTCAACATGTCTTGCTCTGCAATCTTCAGAATGGTGTTAAAAAGTCACAGAATAGAAAAATAGTGTTAGAATGCATGAATTTGACTGCTTTATATTAAATTTCTACATTGCGCTTAAACATAGGCACATGGAGTTCAGAATCAGTTTCTGATACATGTTTTTTGCCTGTCGCTTAATACTCGTTTGTTGACTCCAAAATATAAGTATTAGTAATTTTGGTATAGGATAGTATATGATTTTTATTATCCTTTTTTAACATGGTTTTGTATTTCCCAAAGTCTTTAGAATGAACAAATGACTTTTATAATAACAAAAAAAGATATATCTACATTGAGGAATTTGTTTGGGTTTCCCCAAGATAAAATTTTGAGTTCATTGGAATATTTATTATCCACCCCTCCACCCTCAACCACAAATACACACAATACGCACTATAAGTTATTGGGAGGTTTGACATGCAAATTCCAGGCATATTTTCAGAAATACGATGACTGGAAATGTAAATACATTGTTGGCTCTGGCTTAAGCATTATTTGTCACAAACCATTTTGGTATCCAGCTAGGAAAGCTGAATGTCACACAGTGAAATCACTAATCCTCAGTAACTTAAATAGGAGATCCTAGCTGCATCTTATTACAAAAACCTAATTCTTGGGTGCTTCACCTTTCAAACATAGGATTATTACCTCATTAGCTACCTGTATTTTTTGTACTTTTAATTTCAGATTGTGTATTTGTTGAAAAATTAAATTATTTAAATTTTACTTTTAACTTTGTTGAAGATTATATGTTTCTCAAAAGTAGTTAATTTTTTAAATACTTCATTTATTTTATTTTTAGAAAGGGGAAGGAAGGGAGAAAGAAAGGGAGAGAAACATCATTGTGTAGTTGCTTCTCATGTGCCCTCTACTGGGGACCTGGTCTGCAACCCAGGCATGTGCCCTGACTGGGGATCAAACCAGTGACGCTTTGGTTCACAGGCCAGCGCTCAGTCCACTGAGACACACCAGCCAAACCAAAAGTAGTTAAATTTTTAAAAATAGATCTTGTTTTTAGCATTGGAAGGAATCTTAGAGATCCCCAGAGTAACAAATTCATTTTACATCATGATCTTACATTGCATACGTATGTAAAAACAAACGTTTTATCAGAGAACTTTAACCCTGTGTACAGTGCACTCTTGATATTTTTCTTTCTCTGTATGTGTGTAGTGCCTGCAGCCTCCTCACTGGGCACAGACCCAGTGTTTGACCTGGTCTTTACTCTTTTTCCACTTCCTACTCTTACAGGTAAATTTTTATTTGCATCACAGAAAATTGGACTTATAGTATGTGTAGGGTGGAGTTAACTCAAGAGTAGAAATAGTTAGTCCTGGGATGGCAGGTACTCACATGTTTCAGCAACATCACAGTTCACCCTTTGCTCACCATTTAGTCCTTATGAGAGACACTGCTCATTGAATATGGCCTCACACCCTCTTCTGTCAAACCAAGAAACATCCCTCGGATCTTCAGCATAATCTCCCAACATAATGCCACTTCATGCGACCACTGTGAGGTCATGGGTGGAGTGCTGACCTTTTCAGTGAAATCGTTAGCCCATCAGGTTATCGTGTGTCCATTTGGGAGACCAGAGACTATTCAGACTATGCAGCTCCTTTTTTGCATTTCTTCTCTTTCAGATCAGGCGAGATGTAAGAAAAGAGCCTTTCTTTGTCTTCATTCACTTCCTCTTCTATCTTGTAGAACATTTTGCTCTACCAATGATCATGTTTCTCTTTATTTACTGATTTATTATTATTTTAAATTAATTTTTATTATTTCCATCACCATGTATCCCCCTATGCCTTTTTCCACCTCCACCCACCTTTGCTTCCCCCTACAATTACCACACTGCTGTCCCTTTCCATGAGTTCTATCTTTTTATTTTTCCTTTTTTTGCTATTTCTCTTGTCATTTATTTTTTTCACTGCATTGTCTTTGGGGATTACACGTATAATGTGTGTTAAAAGCATGTGAGTTTTCTGTGCAGTGCCTCGTATACTGAAGTTGCTCAGTAGATGCTGTTGTTACTAGTTCCGGGTATTTCATCCATCCCCAAATCTCTCTCCTGAATTCCAGACCTATTGGAGCTCTCTAAATGATGTCTCATAGACACCTGTTGGAAATCTTGAATACACCTGATTTCATTTCCCTCTGTGATTCCTGGTAGCCTGGGCAAAACGTGGTACTCGTCAGAGACGGGGAGATGCTGGTTCTCTAAGGGAGAGTTTCTCTGGACATTCAGGTCAGAAAGAAGTTTCTTACAGTGAGACATACTGAGTGACAGATAGGTGGTGGTTCTCACAAATAGTTTTACAACAGATGTACATCTGCATAAAATGTAGTTTAAGGAAAACGCTCCCGGGAGAAGTTGGCTGTATGTCCCTTTGGCCTGACTCGGAAAGTAGATTACCTAGAAGGTGGCAGTGGATGCTTAGTCCTTTCCTGTCTTTCCTGAGTTACACTTACTGTGAGCCACTCATTGAGCAGAAGCTGGATAGCAGATGTATTTGGAAGTAACAGACTTTGAAGAGGTTTTGGATTATTACCTTTATTCGCATTCTATGTTGCTGATTAAAGTTGGTTACTTCTGTCTGTTTTGAAGACCAGATGAGCAGGTGGAAGGATTGCTGTTCTATTACGAAATCATTGAGGCCATATAAAGACTTTAACTTCCATCTTCCAGATAGAGGGCTCCTCCCATATCTGTGTGGAGATGCACCGTAGTACAGTAGTACCTGTAGACAAAGCCAGCGTTTCCTCTGGCATCACCTTTGTATCCCTTCCAATAGTTGAGCAAGTCTTACTGTCTGGGTACACAGACTTTGTCACCCTGGATGTGCTCAAAGGGCAGTAATGTACCCCAAGTGTGCAGTGGTATTTTCAGAGTAACCAGTCAGTGTCAACTCTGAATGTGACTTGAATAATGCTCCCATGAAATGTAGCTCACTCTCCAAGATTTGAGCATATCTAATGCACTTTCTCAAGAGGTTACTTCAATTTGTACCTTGTCTTTACATTCTGTTACTATTCATACATTTCGTAAGGACTGTGTTGAACATTTGAAGGGCTTATACTTATGAACTATACAAAACTATTCTTTTAATGAAGACATTCAAAACCACATGTTTTTGGTTTGGTAGTTGTTTTTTTTAATGTTCACCCTCATTCTAAATAATATCCCTTTGTTTGTGAAACTGAATCACAAGCATTCAAAATCAAAGCAGAAAAAGCAGTGCCTAGTTGAGATGGAAATAATTATGTACGCTTTCTGTAATGCAAACATTTTCTTTTCTCCAGAAGAGCACAGAAGGCAGTTTGTTCTTAAAGTCACCCAGTGGCGTTCAGGGAGCTTGAGGGTGAGTGAAGTAAAGAAGACAGTAATATCAGTGTCAGTCCTAAAGAACATGCAATTCAGTGGGAACTTCTTTAGAGATTCTGCAGGACCTCCGTTTGTCTTGTGGTGGTGGAATGACGTAATGCGTTCGTTACTAGAACTCACTGTTTCCTGATATACATCATGGGGCATGAACAACTCTAAAACCCTATCTCTGTGGGATTTCGGCCACTGAAAAATACTGTATACCGCATAGGATAGAATGCTGGGATTGTGTATGTAAGTCCCCATCCTGTTTTCTTCTATCTTGCGACTTCTTGGTGGTGAGGCTTTGTTTCAGCTGAAGGCTAAACTCTCTGTGTAGATTTTTTAAAGCAGTTTGTGGGTTACTGAGCATAATTGGAAGATAATTGTTGCTAGATGCCAAGACAAGGGATAGCTAGAAATCAGGTCTGACTTAGACCAGTGATTTTCAACTGATATGCTACAAGATTTTTTAAAACATGTAGTACCTGACTATTTAATCAGGGACACTGACCTCTTTCTCTCAGACTGTCAGATAAAAAAATGACAACAAACACAAACAATATTTGTTTGGTGTGAATGAATCAAAGTTATACCTATTTTTTATGTCAGATCGGCAAAAAGTATATTTCTTTTGGTGCGCTACAGAACGTAATTAGTTTCTGTGTGCTAAGAGATGAGAAAGGTTGAAAATCACTGATATAGACCTGCAGTTCACAAAGTGCAGTCCAGGGGCTCCGGAGGCTCTTTAGGGGGTCTTTTGAAGACAAAACTATTGCCATAGCTTTGCTGCTTTACTTGCAATCACTTAAGTCCTCAGTGGAGTTTTTTGGAAGTTACCTAATGAGCAAAGATATCACTGCTCTGATGGCTAAACGAATGTGTATGTGTACCAGTGTTTTCACACTTTTCAGTTTTAATATGTGATAGAGTAAATATTAAATAATACATATGAAAAAGAAATTGTGCCAGGGTTTCTCAATAACTTTCAAGTGTTGACAGGGCTTCTGAAACCACAGTGTTTGTGAACTGCTGGTTTCGGTGTTATTTTCCCTAACAAGAGTCCAGCATGTGGCCAGATTCGGCATAACCACAGAACCTAGAATGACTTGAAACTTGGCAGGTACAATGTGGAGGTCCAAAACTAGGGGGAAATATGAAGAATTGTACACATAGGAACTTCTCTAGCATGTAGATGACACTTTTCTATCTAATAAGAAACACTAGAACAATGCAAAATCCTAGGTAACAGAGTTTATAATGGGGTAAGATAAGGATCGGTGTATAAAATGTACTTGGAAAATAATGAACATCTGTAGGTAATCACTTGCCGAGCAATATGACGTGAGAGCTCAGTAAGGTAAACCACTGGAGACAGGCACTGTTATCTGTTAGCACCATCATATTGTCCCCCTCTGCAGTTTACCTTCATTGATGTCTTACCCTATTACACTGTAACCTTCTAGAGGCAGGGGACTCTTTAGTATATACCTTTGTATCAAAAGCATGTGGCTCTGGCTGGTCAGTGGATTGAGTGCTGGCCTGCTAACTAACCAAAGGGTTGCTGTTTTGATTCCAGATCAGGGCACATGCCTGGGTTGCAGGCCAGGTTCCCCAGTAGGGGGCGCCCAAGAGGCAACCGGACACTGATGTTTCTCCCATCCCCTCTCTAAAAAATAATTAAGTAAAATATTTTTTAAAAATTTAAAAAGAGCATGTAAAAGAATACTTTGTATATTCACAGTCCTTAAGAAACACGATTGAATGAATATACTAGTAAATGAATGTATAATGTGAGTTTGATAGTAGGCCTTCAGTCTTTTTTGTAAGAAACTGGTGTTGAGCACCTACCCTTAACTGTGCAGCGAGGTCGAAGGTCAAGTGACTGACTGGGAGATGGGATGGATTAACAGGGCAGCTTTGAAAGAGGTTTGCGCCCCAGGGAGGGGAGGGGGGCCAAGGCCAGGACACCTGCAGTCCAGAGACTAACGAGCATTGATTGCATACTTGGAAAGGTTCCTTGTTAAAACTTGTTATACAGCAGAATAGCACAAATACCTGGACACAGTGTACTTCGTGATTGCATCGTGGTTTTCTTATGCAACTAGACAGATTATTAAGACAAAAATCAGAGCATCATTGCTTCACTGTTTCTTATGGGAGTTCATTGTAACCAGATGAGTCACTCTAACCACTGTTAGTGTGAATCACTTTACTTTTTTTTTTTTTATTATAGTATCAATAATAGTATTGTTTTTTACTGCCTACCAGGGCCAGGTACCATTTTTCTAAATCTACCTCTTTTCGAGACGCACTGTTACTATCTCCATTCTAAGACAAAGAAAACGAGGCACCAGCGGGAGAGACCCACTGAACCCACTCAGCCCCTGTGACGAGCAAGGGTTCAAACCCTGGAGTCCGTGCTCTTCCCGCTCGCCCTGCGGCGCTTCTCCCAGTGGTCCTCTTCACCAGGGTCGATTGTTCCAAAAACAGGAGTAGGACTGGGGCGTTCTGGGTGACTTCTGTCAATATGAATGAAAAATGTGTAAAGTTAATTGAAATGCATTGGAACATTCCCTTCTGTATTGTGTTTGTAAAAAAAAAAAAAACAGCTGTATAATGGAAGGTGATTTCATAAGAGGGCACTGAGGCAGATATGAAATGTGTGCTCACTTATGAGAATTTGAAGTTTTAATTTTTTTTTTTGCATTTTTGTCTCTGGTCCCTGTACTAGCATAATAAGCTTGTTATTAATAAACTATATTTGAACTTCCTTTTTAAAAATTGCTCACATAGCTACAGATGATGTGTAGTGGGAATTCTATTCCTTGTATTTGTCACAGTATTTCATGTGATGCTCCACTTAAGATTGAATTTGACCCAGTGGAAGGAGTATCGAGACATTGTAGTAGAGCGTGCCCTGCACTGGGTAGTGAAACACACCTCAGATGACTGAGAAGGATCTAATTCTTTATTTATGAATAATGATGTTCTTAGACGTGACTTTTCCCTTCAGAGAACTACATATTTAGCTTTTGTTTAAACGCATAATCAAATTAACAAAACTAGTCTTAGTCTTTCATAAAAGAAATAGTAAACTGGTTTATTTTGAAATCAACTTTAATTGTATGTATGGTAAGATTGCTGAATCTGGCGATGGCCATGCATGGGTTTATGGTGCCATGCTCTCTACCCGTAAGTACATGTGAACATTTTCCTCCAAAATCAGAGCAGGTTTTACAAAGCTGTTTGCAGTGACGGTGTGTTTACCAGCCACAGTTACCTTTGTCACGTTGGCTGCTGTGGGAGGTTTGGGCATGTTCTCCGGTTCACACACATGCTTCCCACTAATCGAAAGCGAACCGAGCGCTTGCTGTTTGCCTTTGTCCCGTGTCCAGTTGGTGGTGTCGTGAAATTCTGTGTGACTCTCAGGACATGCACGGCGGCTCTTCCTAACCAACAGCCTGTGTCTCTGCCTTGTGCTCTTCCTCCAGAGATATGTCGCCATCGGAGAGCTGGGGAAAGCCACCGACACGCTGGACTCGACGGGCAAAGTGACGGAAGAGAAGCCTTACGGTATGAAGTTTGTCTAAAGGGCTCTCTTTTGACATTTAGGAGAACATTCTGTGAGTTCCCTACCCTGATACTACTAGTGATTTTAGTTTTCAGTTCATTTTTTACTTGAATAAGATCATAAGTGATTTATCATGTTTATTTGCTATGAGTTTGTTAATAGTCATTATAATTGCCTCTCTTCCTGTAGTCAGTTTTTATAATGTTCACAATTCTTCCAAATAATTCCCTTTTCAAAGGCATTTGTAGCTAGGATGTAGAACATTTTTTTCCTAGTAACAGAGAAACTCTCTTGTTAGATTTTGCCCGTGTCCTGCAGTTGTTTGTTTACTCATTTATTTATTTTAGAATTACTTCTTAGCTGCTGAAATTAATGTGCCAGGTTTAATGTTTAAAACTAGTCATGCTTCTTTGCTGTTGGAGTACCTAAAAAGATAGGGCAAAAGGAAAGCTATTTCTCTGGAAATAAAGCAGAATCTTAGTTTTTCTACTATTCCTTTTATTTATTTATTTTCTACTATTTTAAGAAAGGATAGATAAATGAAATAGTCTCCTAGCAACTCTCCCAGTGCTCGCACTATTTATAATGAAGCAGTTTGTACAGTCAGTTCACCTACATTATCTTGTCACCAATTGTGAACTTTGTGTAGGCTTTCTGCTTGCTTGTTGCTGTTCTGCCCGTGTTTCATGTGATCACTTCCGACCTTAGCTGTGAACGGCCAGCACCTGGCTTCCCTGTGCTTTTGTGCTGTGTGTCCCCCTTACACACTTCCTATTGCCCCTGTCCTGTCACCAGTCTTTCATCCTTCACGGTGGCATCACTTGACCTGCTATTTATTTACATGTAGTCTAGTGTTTTTCTTGATTAATCAAACAACTTAATCAAAAGAGAAATCACTGATTTCTTTTGAGTCATTTATAAAAATAAGTGTTGACTTATTCTTGACACTATTTTTATTAGGAAACGTATAGCTGACCCTCACTTAATGGAAATGCAACCGTAATCTCCAGCCAGAAGGTTTTTAAGGGTAAAGAGGGCAGAGGGCAATCGGAGACAATCCGATCCCCATGGTGTACTAAAGGGTACGACGTCAGCACGTACCTCATTAGAAGAGTGTTGAAGAGCTAAACTTGGTGAGACTTGCTGGTTGGGTGGCGGAGTGAGGGAGAGGAAGTTGTTGACTGTGACCTAAGTTTGGGGTTTTAAAACCGGTTACATGATGGTGCGGTTCATTGAGTAGGGGAATCTAGACGAGGGTCAGGGAGGGGAAAATACTTAAACACACCCTTCCTTCCTGCGCTGAAGCATTTTGGAATTGAAAAACTTGCTCTGTTGTATAATGCGTAGCCTTATTTACTTGTCTTAAAGAAAGCATCATTTGTTAAAATCATCTCATTAAAATGTTGGAGTAAGTTGTGGAGACACTAAGGTTCTTTAAGCCTTAAAAGAGGAGGGCTCCCTACAGTTTATTGAATAGTATTTATAGTTCCAGAAGGTGAGAGGTCAAAGAATTTTGCGGATTGATAAGACTTTTCTGGGTGATTTCAGTAAACCAGCAAATGTTTATTATTTGCTGTAGCAGGTACTGGGAGAAAGATAAATAAGCAACACCCAGCCCATGTCATTATGGAACTTGTGTCTAATGGAGAGCTAGGGCCTAGGTTCTCTACCCTCTGAGACCCCAAAACTGAGACCTATGACCAGTATTTTGTAATGCCTTCTTTACTCCCAAAATAAAAGGCAAAGATACTCTAACCTACCTATGTGTTTTTTTAAAAATCACTAATATACAGTAAATGGAATGTAAAGAATAAAAGTTATAATAAAAATGGCACATCGGTATGTAAATGCACAGGTATTACTATCCTGGAAGTCTTAGTGAAGTGGGGAGATGTTCGCACTTACTCATAAACCGCTGTAAATGCCACAAGTACAAATGCAGACTGTTAAGAGGGGTGTTGTATGAGTCAGCACTGGAAAATGCAGTATATGGAAAAAGTACAAAAAACGCTTTGTGTTTAAATGGAAAATGGAGTCCGGTTCTAGCTTCAGGTGATTTCACCTGAAGAGAGTAAGTATCCGACAGACATCATCCAAAGTCACGCAGCCTACAGGACAATTCACTGTGCCGTACCATCTGCAGAGTACAGGTGTCCCACACCAGCCCTGACAGCATGGCAGGAATAAAAAGTGCAGTTCTTCAGTGACCCGTTGAGAACGACTGACAGACGGGCAGAGTCACCAAGGCAGTGGGCAGTGAATGGCAGATGGACGCTCCCACGTCATTTTGTTTGACCGAGACAAATACCAGCGTTAGTCATTATTGTAGGTGGCTGGGCAGTGGCTCAGAGGAGTAAGAACAGGGGTCTGGCCCAGTGGGATTAAAAACCAACCATATGAACAGGTCCCTTCTTCTTATTCTCTTTCGCGAAAACCGTCTGTTGTTCCCGAGCAGTGATCTTCATTGTCTGCCTGTGTGTTTGCGGGTCAGTCCCTGAGTGGTGGGGCTGAGGGACCACGAGGGACCACGTCTCCCTCGGTCCTCACTGTCCTTTTGGTTTCTGGAACAGCGTGTGGCCTGCAGAATAAGACACTCTGTGAGTCAGTCAGACGGGCGATGGGGGCTTTCGGGAAGAGGGTGACCGCGGTGACCCCCAGAAACGGCAGAGCGTTTCCCTGCCCTGCTGCGCTTCCCTTGTCCGCGTCTGTGCAGAGTGACGGTGTCGAGTCTCAGGTGCAGTTGCTAGTGTCCTTCAGGGCCCATGTCTTCACTGTGCCCATCTGTCCTCCACTGAGCCCAGGACACTAGGACCGAGACTTTCCGGGCCACCTCAGGTGTGGGCCGGGCTTCTGGGACGGCCTAACTGCTCCTGAGATGCCAACAGATTTTCCTCTCTCGTGGCTTTTTATTGGGAGGCAGGAAACGAAAAAGGAAAGTGGTCCCTCGTGCTGACCCTCTGTTCTGAACACCATCCCGGAGTCCCAAGACAGGGTCCCACCAAGGTCTCTCAAACAGACGTTCTAATGTCAGTGGGAGTGGCTCCTCGTGGGCTCCGGCCTGGCCGCCCGCACTCCCTGGTGGAAGGCGAGGGGCTGAATTGAGTCTCACATTGTGGTTTGAACAAATAGAGAACACTTGGGGGGGCTCACATGTAGCTGGGTGTCAGTTACCTCACGGTGCCTCTTGTTTGTATTTAACCCTCTTCATTATGAAGTATTACACAAACAAAGAAAAGTGGAGCAAACACACATCCACAGCTCCGTGAACTATCCCGAGGCAGACATCCACACAGCTGCCACCTGGTCGAGACACAGGAGGCTCCCGGAAACCCCCCAGGTGCCCCTTCCAGTCTCTGCTCCGGAGACCGCGGTCTGCCTCCCGAGGACCTGACTCCCAGCATCGCGGCGGCAGCAGCTCTGAGACAGTGGTGCGGTGTGGCCGGTGTGCGAAGGGGATAGAGACGCAGTGAAACAGTCTGTTTCGGTGTCTGGATTCCTCCCCAGGCACAACACACGGTTCATCTGTTCATCTACGTGAGATTCATCTGTTTTCTCACACGCATCAAGATTTTGGCCTTTCTTTACTGCTGTGTGTTATGCCATTGTGAGAATGTGCTGTATTCTGTGAAAAACATATATGTATATAGATGAATGATGTGTGTGTGTATTCACACACATGCACTATTGGTGACAGACTACGTTTGGGCTGACTCCAGTTTGGAGTTTTATGCGTAAAGCTGCTCTGTGCATTTGGTATGTCTTTTTGGTAGAGATGTGAACTCGTTTGTCTTGGATCTAGGGTACCCAAGTGTAATTGCCAAGTCACAGCATAAGTACATATTTTACTGTACTAGAAATTAGTAGTTTTTAAAATGTTTCTATAACTTTTTTTTTGCATTTCCACCAGCAATAAATAAGTGTTCCACTGCATCCTTGGCAACACATGGTAACAGTGTTTCTAGTTTTGGCCATTCTGGTGAACGCCCAGTGGTATTTCGTTGTGGTTTTAACTTGATTATTAATGAAATTCAGCACTTGATTCATGTTTTTTGGCTCCTTAGCTATCTTCTGTTGCGTATTGTCCAGTTCTCTTGCTCATTTTTAGTTTTCAGTTTTTTTCTTTCCCTATTGAGTTGCCTTTTCTTTTTTGTACAAATACTGATTTGCATAAAAGATGTTAATGTGCTCTAGGTCTGTTCTCTTTTTCTGGTTGTTACGTGTTGAGGACATTGTCTCCTACTCTGTGGCTTGTCTTTCACCTATGTTAGACGTTCTTAGTTTTAATTTTGTCTAGTTTATCCAGTCCTCGATCACAAGGGAAGCCCCGCACAGGAACGAGTTTTTCCAGAATCTGTTTTGTTCTGTCCGTCTGTCCTTGTGCTAAGACTGAACCATGGTAACTGTAGTGGTTTTAGAATGAGTCTCATCATCTGAAAGAACAGGTCTCCCTGCCTGTCTCTCCAGACTTTTTCCTGTGAGTTTTATCAACATACGGCCAGTGCCTTCTGTGCCCGGTTTGCTGCTGTTTTCTTTTTATCATGAGCAGACATTGAATTTATCACGTTTTTTCTGTATCTATTGATTTTCCTCATATAAATATTAAATGAACTGTACTTTTCTGGAATAAGCCCAAATCGATTATGGTATTCTATCCTTTATATAAATCGTTGGATTTAGCTTGCTAATATTTGGTTTAGGGTTTTCATCTTTGCGAGTGAAGATTATGCTGTAATTATTCTTTCATGTAATGTCCTTGACTGACTTGGAGTGGTTTTGATACCAAGGTTGTGCTGACCTTATAAAGTGGGTCGGGGAACATTGTTTCTTTTCTGTTCTTTGGCAGAGTATGTGTCAGATCGGCATCATTTTTTTTTGATGTTTGGTGGAATTTACTAGTAGACATTTGGACTTTGTGTTTTATCAGGAAGGTTTTTAATCATGAGTTGGATTCTTTACTGTGGAACCTATTTTTTTTTTTAAATCTCGTGTCACTCTTGATAATTTTTCCCCCAGTGTTCATTTTATCTAAATTTTCAAGCTTATGGGTATAAAGCTGTTTATAATCATTTTTCATGGCTTTTCTTTTTAGTTTGAAATACTATCAAACTTAAAGTTTCCAAGAGCCGTATTTTTGTAGCTTTAAATATACAGATCTTTAACTTCTTTTGATACTTAAAATAGCACACTTTGCTGCTGTTTTAATGGGATCTTTAAATTTTTAAATTTCTGATAAGTTCATTTCTAGTATATAGAAGAAATGAAGTTGATTTTTGTATATTGGCCTTTTGCCTTTTAACTGTGCCAAACTCACTCAGTAATTCTAGTCGCTTTTGTGTGGATTTCTCATTAGGGCGGGTCCAAAGTAGACTGTTTTCCAGGTCGGGATTAGCACTGCTGCCGAAACAGGGCTCCTCTGGGGTCTGTTGAATGCCTCAGGTATTCATCAGTTTCTTCATTGCAGCTGGTTGGAGTGGAAGCATCTTTGGCACCAGTTCTGGTTAATCTTGTGGCAGCTCAGTGTAGGTGTGTACAGCTTGGAGTTGAGCCAGGTCTCAGCTGGAGCCCTGTGGGTGTCTGTGTGGTTCCCGCACATTCTAGCCGCTGCTGCTTCCCCAGAGTCCAGGTTCTGTTCCGTGGGATCCAGTGCTTTGTCTGGGCTCCGCCCTGCACCACAGTTCAGAAAGCTCCTCCAAGCCAAAGCAAGCAATCGGGGATCCGCCTGGGTTCTTTCCCTTCTCTCAGGGATCGCTGCAGCGCCTGCCCCCTGCAGTCCGTCGCATGTTCATGACACGTCTTTCCAGTTGAACAGCTGCTTGTGGTGGCAGAGCTTGTCCAGCCACAGTGCTCTGTGGTGGTCGAGCGCGGTGGTCAGCGCTGTCCCATGGTTTTTACTGCATAGTTCAGCGCCAACTATCATGCGGGTTCACCGGAAGAGGCAAGTGATGATGTGCAGCATGATCTATAAATTAGTTTTGAGAATGACTTTATAAAATTAATTTCAGATGAATACTTCCCATTGATGATTTATTAATTTGCTAATAAACAAAGAGTAATTACCCAAATCCGATGATACATGTATCATACCTCTCTCCTACCAGTCGTACTTCTTCGGGCTAGCTACATGGTATACTTGCTTTGGAGATTTTCTTTTCTTCCTCCTTAAATCCTATGGAGGTAAAATCTTTATTCTTATATCATAGGGGCAACTATTATTATGTGGATTGAGCTAATAACCTGTTCTGAATATAGCCAGCATGCTTACTACATACTCATAGTGGCGAATATAACTTTTATTGATAATACTTACTATTTTTACTTTTATTGTAAAATAACTTTCTGCATAGGCTTTTTGTTTGGTGATTCACGTATCAGGTGACTGACTGGCCCAGGTCACTTCTAATGCCCATTGGACCTTGAGGTCTGATGCTCCACAGCAAATTAATTTCAGCAGGACTGCCTTAAGTGCCTCCACGGTTGTGGACGTGATAGAAGAAGAAAAGCTGTCTTTGCCTTTAAGGAGCTCAGAATTTCATTGTAACAGTTTAAAAATGTGTGTGATTAGCTGCAGAATGAACAGCCCAACCCATAAGCCCTGAGATGTTAAGTCAGGGAAAGAGACACCAGGGCAGACATAGAACTCGAAAGAGCACGTCCTGCCATCTTGTGGGGGGACATCAGTGGAAGAGCCATCGGAAGCAGCACAAAGGGGACGCAGAGCAGGGACGTCAGTGCAGAGAGCAACCTAGCGGGAGGAAGCTCTTTGGTCTGACTTCTAAAATGTGTTGCCAAGTTATGAACTATTGCAGGTTTATCAGCAATGGCATGTCTTTTGGCTGTTGCCAGGATGGTGCCTAGGTGTGGAAGTTTTGCATAACTGAGGTGCCACCAGTAAATTACGTTTTAATGTTACACTTGGGTAAAATTTTTCAGGGAAAAAATCTTCATCTGCATCATGAGCCGTATCTGTTTGAAAAACAGTGTGAACAGAATAGCCTTCTGGGATCTGCCTTTTTTGGAACAGCTAGGTGTTGGAGAAACTCTTTTCACTTCTGTAGCTCTTCTCTGCTTGAGTCTGTAGTGGATTCTGGTCTTTTGTTCCTCTTTAGCTTATAAGGATCAAGGTCAGTGAGATTCAGGCTGTCTTGCTGAGTTGACATTGAAATCTGGACACAGTGTTCCCTGATGTCCTTTAGTTTTTATTCTGGTGTTAGAACAGTAATTGAAAGCACATCATTTTTTGTTAATATTGTCCAAATAAATCAAATATAACATGTATATATCAGAAAAAGAAGTTTAAGTAAACTTCATACAAAGTGAAAAAGAAGCACTGTAATATCTTTCCATTAACTATGACTTAAGTTATAGAATATTTCTATAATTTAGTTTGTTATTGAATATGAAATAATGTATAGTTATCTATAAGTATGAAAACTCCCAAATATCACGTGTCAGTGTGTTATAATTTTCAGTTGCAGAGAATTGTAGAACTGTACGTGAATGTTGAAAGAGTGTCAAGCTGAAAATGACTAAGTGACAGATATGGAAAGCTGTCAAAGATACGTCTTCATTCAAATTTTCTAAAATCATCGTTTACAAAATGCTCAGTAATCATGCTAAAATTCTTGCTGTGTATATTATCTTTTTGCCCTGGCTTGCTTTTGAGGCAAAAGACATCTGATTGAGTGTGTTCATTTAAAACAACAGAGAAACTGTAAGAGCAGTGAAGGGGGGACAGAGAAATGCAACTTAGGGAAAAAATTAAATGTGGATGTGTCAGATTTATACCATACCATAGAAAAGTTTTGAAATCTATTCAGTAAAATTTGAAATGTGTTTAATACTTGATAATCTTCAATACTGCATTAAGTTATTTGTATTTGAGGCCTGGAGAAACTTAGAAAACAACTTACGGGTTTTTTCCTGCTCTTTGTTTACTTCATTTTTGATGCCCGCAGGACCATTTCTGTAGCTAATGCAGCATCTTCTGAGGTCTTCTAAGGGCCACTGGTAAGAACCAACTAGATGCACTTAGAGGATTGAATCACTTTTATTGGGAAAAAATGGAAGCAAAGGAAATTTGGTCTTAATATTAGACAAGATAAGACTCCTACCTCCTTTTGTTTCGTTAATATTTGTATATTAGTAAATACATGTACTTCTGTGGTTATTTGAGTGTCACTTTTTTGTTGCTGTTCATTTTTGGCAGATAAAATAACACAAGAAGATATTGAAGGCATTTTACAGAAATTCACTGGGAATATAATGCAGGTGCCTCCCCTGTAAGTTTAAGTATCGAATTTGACTAAATGTTTAATTTTATTTTCCAGTAGATAGTGTCACTTTAGAGAAAGAAATGGCTCCTTTTTATGTAAGGTGAGGCAGGTTTTAAATTTGCCCTAGCGAATGATCACGTAAAGATGAGCCTGATTTGGACGGGATGCCAGGCTTCCTCTGTGCCTGGATGTCGCCACCCTCCGGTGTCTCTGCTCTTCTGGGTTCGTCCATTTTTCCGATTCTGTCTACAGATATCAGGGCAGTTTGGGAGCATAACGGTGGCACCTCCCAGAAGGCTCTGCAGAGGCCAGTCCAGCCTGGCGCAGGTGTCCATGTTGTGATTCGGAGTCCAGTTAGTTGGTCCCTCCTTTCTGGTTTCGAGACCATTCCTTTGGGATCACAATCTTAGGCCTCACAATTGCCTGAATCAGATGAGAGTTGGTAACATATTAAAACTGTAAGAAAATTGATTTACCACATTTTTCATGCACATTACTATTTCAAGAAAATTTTCATGCACATTTTTCAAACTATGACCAAATGTCTATATGTTGAGTCAGGAAAAGTTATTGGCAATTCTTTTAAAATTTATTATTTACTTTGTTTATAAAAATACTGTTTTTTCCAATACTGAAGTAGCTATGGGAAAGTGTCTCCATAATTTTGCCTCCGAGGTGAGGTTTAAAAATTTTAGCAGATAAATAAACATGATTTTGGATCATTAGTGTCAAAATAAATGAAACATTTTTATTTATAAGAACTTTTAGAATTTTCTCTGTAATTTTTCCAAGGATTTTGTGGTCTAATAAAATTTTATCACATGAAGCTAAGGTCTGTTAAGTAGAATATTTGCTTATTTGCTTTTCAGAATCACTTTGATAACTTTTCTATGAAAATGAATATTATTAGAACAGAAGTTGTTTCAAGGAGCTCTAGCTGAGATCCTCATGACCAGGGGCCCTGGGCCCTTAACCCAGGGTGAGGTCCACTGAAGACACGATAGACCACCTCCAGGGAGACCGTCAAAGAGTAGAATTGACAGGATGGCTCTTTGGGGCCAGACTGAGCTCTGTGCACTCAAAGATGCTTAGGAACCCGGTTCCTGATGCCGCTGTGGAACAGGTTCAAAGGAATAACTTATGTATTTTTTAGAAGGATTTTCCATGAAAAGGGCTGGTGGTCGTCCTTTCCGTGCTGCAACCTGGAATCATTCTGTCATTCTTCCTTAATTCTTCTCCCCTGTCTTGTAAGCTATTCTGCGTTAAAGAAAGATGGACAGAGGCTTTCAACCTTGATGAAGAGAGGTGAAGCAGTGGAAGCCAAGCCCGCCAGGCCAGTTACTGTGTACAGTCTCTCCCTGCAGAGATTCCAGCCACCATTTTTCACATTAGGTGAGGCGGAGAAATTCAAAATCATTTGTGTTTACAAGGTACCTTTAGTTTTGTTTTCGGCTACGTATGTATAATTTTAATGGCTCTATAGGGTATTAGAGAGTTTTAAAATTCATATTTAAGGAAAGTTCGGATTTGTTAATACCTGTCTGGTAACACAGTTCAGAACACCTCTGGCTGGAGGTTCAGATCTGCCTTTCTAAGTCGGCTGAGGTTTTGTACCTCAGATCTCAGTGGAGAAAAATGGGCAAGGAGTATATATTTTTAAAACTTTATATTTTATATTTTATTATCTTACGGATACTCGTTCCCTCATTTTGGCTTGTATCTGGTAGTTCACATTAAGTATTAAAATTCATACTGATTTGTCTTCTTAAAACAAAGCATTTTTTGTCTTTTTGGACAAGAAGTGTAGGAGTGGAGTGATTCCTTTTCCCCAGCTTTCTTTGTTGTCTGCAAGTTAGCGTTAAGGGTCATGAAAGTACAGAAATAATGCGTAAGGCAGAAATGTATTCTTGGAGGTGGGGTAAATTTTAATTCAGGTTATCAATATGAATTCAATAAATTTAAAAACCAAAAATTTTGTTTTGATTGTTTGCAAACTTCATGGCTTACCTGCAGAAAGTAGTAGCTGAAGCCTCAACCATGCAAGAGCTGTGGTTTTTCTGAGTTCCTAGGCTTCCTTGAGCTGATCCTACTCTTAATTTCATGGTGCATAGTAAGTAGGATTCCTTCAATTTCCCCAAACCTTTTTTGCTCAACTTTGTTCCTTTGGCATATTATCTAATATATATAAAGTTCCTGTAAGTGTGGGTTTTATATACAATTTAAAAAAAAGAAGTCACTCCTTTTCTTTAGTTTCTTGATTCTAAAAAGTTTGACAAATAATGAGAGAAACACAATAAAAAATACTTTGTTTCATTCCATGAAAATGCAGCAGCTGGATTGGCACAGTAGATATTACCTGTGAAAGTAAGAAAAACTTGGATTTTTCCGATTGCATTTAATCAGTAAATACTTTATTTTGCTCACTGGCAGGTGTGATAGGCCAAAAAAGTAGTCTTTTCACCCAAGTAGAGCGCACAAGTGTGGGCCTCCCTTTGACCCTGGTGCTCATTTCCTATCTCAGCTGTGGCCCCGCCCTGGAGCTAATGAAAGAAAAAAAAACAATTAAAATCCCCAGGTAGTAAGTTTTCACTGATTCCCTGAAATGGCTTTATTTGTATGATATGGCTAGAAACATTCAGCTGTTTGTATTCGGCTGTGTATGCATATCTTTGTATGGAAAGTTAGGGTGTCTTCTGGGTGGATAAACATAACCCAGGTCCCTGTTCTAACCAGTAAACGTGCGTTACACTTTGTGAAGGAGACGTTTGGCAATGCATTTACTTTTGGAACATTGTGCAATTTTACTTATTTTATGATTTCTTTAGGAATATTTCTAAGAGAACATTTACCCCAAATGTAATTCCTGTCCCTGAAAAGGTTTTTTTTTTGCTTGTATTTGTTGAGTGTACAAATCTGAAAGCATTGAAAAAAATCTATAGCTCATGATAGCAAACCTGAGACGTCTAACCATTTATAACCTATTAAATGAGTAAGGTGTCGAAATTTGAAAATATTTTTTTAGATCTTCAGCTCATGAGAGCAAAGACGAGATTGCTGTGTAAAAACTGTCAAATAAACATGGCTGAAGCCTCGAAGTGGTGGGACTTGCCAGTTCATTTAAAATGTGTTCCTGAGTTTTCGTTGTTTGCCTTCCCTGTGCTCTGGCTTTTCAATCTCACAAACACATATGCTGCTGGATGAATAATTTATGTTTTAGCCATAAATATTTTATCGCTCGATTGTTTGCATAGTGCATCTTCACATTTGTTTAGAGGCATCATTTCTGTGTAAAGTGGATTCCGTAGGAGGTCGGCAGTTCACCCTGTCACTGTTAACGTTCCAGATGTTGAATGCGGAGGAGGCTTTTATATCAGAAGCTTGGTCAGTGACATTGGCAAAGGTAAGCATAAAGATGAATTATGTCATAATCTGAAGATGAATTATGAGTTATTATTTGGAGAGTACTGTTCCTTTTTTGATGACGAGAGGGAATTTCCTACTTGTCACATCTCTGAGTACTGGCCGTATGAACAGCACTTCTGCTGCCTCAGCTTCGGAAGCATCGCAGGTCAATGGCAGACAGTTATCAGCATCGGCAGCTGCAGTGGAACGTTTGCAATGGGAGCGGAGGGAGAGGAACAGAGAACGAATGTGGGAATAATGACTGGGAGGACCAACATTTTTTTCAAGTACAAAATATGTATGCTAGAGTAGGGATCAGAAAAAAAGATTTATCCTTCCAAAAGTTATTTTCATTGGTACGAGTCAGATTTTGGAAAAACTGGAAGCCGTGGTCTTACAACGAGCCAGAGAGTTGCAGCCCCGGCTCCAGCATTTGCTGGCAGTCGTGACACTGGATGGGTCCTATTACCTCATCTGCCAAGTGAGAGTAATGGTTACCTCATGGGGTTGCTTCAGGGGCTAAATGAAAAAGTGTGTGCAGGTTCCTCGTGGACTTGGAAGCAGCTTATAAGGTGAGTTATAAATACTATTAATACTGAGTTATAAATACTAAATACTATTTTGCTCTTTAATCATTTCTTAATCTCAAGGCTCTTGGTTCTCATATTGAATTATTACAGTTTTACATTTGGAGTGATTTTGAGAGGTTCGAATCGAGTTCCTCTGTCATTTGAAAAATTGTAAACTGCTCTATACTGACTCATTTGTCTTATGGGTTGTCTTTCCCCCCATGTTGCTGCAGAGCTCTCGTCCTGCGCCAATGTGCTGGAGCTGACCCGGACCAAACAGGGGCCGTTCACGCTGGAGGAGCACGCCCTCCCGGAGGACAGGTGGACAATCGACGACATTGCACAGTCGCTGGCACGTTGCTCATCTCTGCTCCCCGCGGAGACGGCACTTAAAAAGTCAAAACCCGAGGAGTCTAACGAACACATTTTGAGCTGTGAATACATAACTCTAAGTGAGAAGAAGGGAGAAGATGATGTAATTAAGACATGTTAAGATTGGCACAGGTCATCACTTCTTGGTGGACATTCGAATCCTGTGTACACAAGCTACCGGCAAAGGACAAACAACTACTTTTTTTTTGCATGAAGAAAAATGTCCATCATTTGCAGTTTCTGCAGTGTGCAATTTATCTGCTGTGCACTGCAAACAGCAGTTGTTCAGTTCTTCGGTGTGCTGTGGAATGTTCTTTTAGGATATTATGTTTTAGAGCGGGTACAGGAACATCAGCTTGATTTGATCTTGCTTCAAAGTCTTTTCCTGTGAAAAAGCTGAACACAGTTTCTAATCAAAGAAAAAAGACATACGAGCTACGTGTTTCTTCGGCATCAAAAAAGTTAATGTAAATTGGTGTTACTTTGGTCTTCTTCTGGCTGCCTGGTAGCTCTATTGTATGCAAATTCTTTAACTATGTTTGAAACTGCTGTTATTTAACTCTTATGATTTGAGAGTTTGTGATTATTAAGGACATTTCTTTGATAAGGGTGCATTCATTTGGTAATAGCTGTGTTCGTTTAGATCTTGGACATTAATAAACTTTTATAATAAATACTTGTAATTGAACCAAATTTTTGCTGTTACCACTAAAGGGGGGAAAGTACAAGATTAAATACACCTCTACCGTTAGTTAGTACAAAGGATGGCCCAGTGGCCTGTATTTCCGCAGCTGTGAGATCTTCCGATATTTCCCACACTGTCGACCACTCTATTCCAAGTTGCTGAATAACAATTTTTTAAGATTAAGCTAAAGAATGTCTTCAATTAAACATTTCCTTATTCTTTAATATTTATTTTACCTTTTTTAGGGCATTGGTTTTTAGTTTGCTCTTTCAAATGATGTTTATAGGCTCTGAGATTGCCTCTGTGCATTTCCAGCTAATCTTTTCAGCTCTAAATATTTAAAAACAGTTAATCTTCAGTGTTTTCATTCAGATGGCCTACTAAAAATTGTCTCTTCCTTGTTAACATAATTTTGAAAGCATAGGCACATTACAAAATAGTACATTTCACATGTAATGAGTGCTTCGTATTTTTGTTATGGGAAAGTAATATATTACGCATCATCCAGTCTGTAGACATGTTTGCCCTTCATTTATTCAATAAATACAGTTTCAAAAGGAAGAATCATTAAAATTTTCATAACATAGCTTTTATATTTTTATGGATTGCATTTCTTTTGGCTGGTTGCCTCTTCACAACCCCTACCTTGAAAAATGTCACTATGAAAACCAACATGGTTTTATTGATGATTTACTCAGTATAGAAAGGTATATGCTTCAGTAGAGCATTTTCATCCCATTGGCAACATATATGAAGAGGAAATACTGAAAGTAATTCTTAGTATGACACAGGAAAGTATGAGGAAAACAACTTGATATCACGAGGTATTAACATCAAATGCCAAACAAAGTTGAAATATCAAAGTTTACAATTTCATTTGTTCGGAGCTGCTGCCCTGCAGACTGTGCCAACCCAAAGTGGCGGCAACAGCTGCTTGTGCCCCGGATTGTGCGGGGTAGAGCGGGTCCTCATGCGTCGCCAGCCAAGGTCCAAACAGAGGAATGTTTAGGTCGTAGAAAACAGCTAGGCATTTCTGCCCCACGTCACAACTTAAAAATTGACGTGTGTAATTTATTAATGGAGAAGACTAGAGATTATTCAACTAGACAAATGACTTTTTAAAATAGTAACCAATCCTTTTTTTATTTTAATTGCAAAATTCTTGCTGTGTATATTCTCTTTTTGCTCTGAGGACATTGAAGAAAATTTTGTCAAATGGAAAAATTACCCATACTCCTCACCATCCTGGTGCAGTGACTTCAGAACTTTAATTTTGTAGTAATATTTTCCTTTTGTGTACATAATTACGATCATAAGACTCCTATACTTTTTAATTGACTTTTTCTGATGTAATTGTTTGATAATTATTATTTTAATTATATTACTTCATATTCAGTTTTACACTATTTCCTTATTACTGAACACAGGTTATGTTCAATTTTATTAGGATAAATTCTCGAGAGTGAGATTATTAAGTGGGATATAGGAACAATTTTGGGGTTCTTAATATGTTTGCCTTATTGCTTTCTCAAAGCACTGTAACATTTTACTGTTACTGTCTGAGTATTATCAGTTCACTGAAAGTTTACAGTTTGGGTGGGGGTATAGTATGTTGTTGCTGATTTAGTAAGTGTAAGAGAGAGTTTAAAATTGCTCTGCTTTGCTTTTGCGTGACTTGCATGTATTTTGTCCATTCATATAAATAAATGTCTTGTGGTTTCTTTATACATTTGTATGAGTTATTTATGCAGGAAATACTTGGTAGAAGTATTTTCATGGCCTTTCTATTTTTTCACTTTTACATTTTTTTATTCTTGCTAACTGAATTGACTAATTTTAATAATTCTTCACCTTTTACAGTTGTCAGATGTATGACTATGAATATTTAAAGTTTGTTTAAAATATTATTCACAGCTCTCATCCTCAGCTAAAACTGATCAAGATGCTCTCAGAATTTTAAGACTTATCCAGAAACAAATTAGTTTTCTCCCAAGAGTCTAGTATTTAAGTACCAACTTTTTTTTTTTCATTTTAATCAAAATGTTAAAGAAATATCTGTTCCTTATGTATTCCTAGGCCTACAAACTGGGAAGTGGCTTCCTTTCTGTGTGGGGTTTTGAAAATTTCTGAGCTGTCATTCTTTGCCTTTAAGAATTCTTTAAAATATCTGCCCTGGCTGGTGTGGCTCAGTGGATTGAGCGCAAACCTGCAAACCCAAGGGTCGCAGGTTTGATTCACAGATCAGGGCACATGCCTGGGTTGTGAGCCAGGTCCCTAGTAGGGGCTGAATGAGAGGCGACCTCATGTTGATGTTTCTTTTTGTTTTTCTCCCTCCCTCCCCCTCTGTCTAAAAATAAATAAAATCGTTAAAAAAAAGAATTCTCTACAATACTTGGTTTTTCATCTCACCTGCTTTTATGATGACTGCCTCTTCTGTACTGTGCCAGAAATGAAACAATTCATGTTTCCTCTGAGTGTTTTACCTTGCACCCTCAGCTCTTTAATGGGCTCAAGAAGTGGTCCAGCTTTTTCTTGCTGTTCGGGGAATATTGGCATTGCCTAGAAGCTTTCATCCTAAGTAGAAGCATAAACTTAAATAATGCTTTAATATTTTTCTCAGCACTTACAGTTGTGAGGGTTTTGTGTTATTTTGTCCACTGTTTTTGTTAGAAACAGAACTCTGTGTACCCAAAATGTAGTTAAAATGAGTTGCAACATCATAACATTACAGCTCCTTTTATGTCCTTAGGAAATATTCTGATGATCCATTGGCTAATGGCAAAGCATTTAATAAATTAGCATTCATATATTCAAGTCACTTTGACATTTGACTTAATTCTCCCATTATGGGCGAGACGATTAGAGCATAGAAAAGGAACTTTCCCAACTCCAAATTAATGCATTAGGAAGGACAGGTCAAGGTCAGATATCTTAAGTCATTCATAATCATTTGGCAGCTACATGATCTAAAGGTGAAGACTAACTGGGTGATTTGATTCCAAAGGAGTCAATTGTCAGAGATTCCTTTGTGCGGGAAATGATGGCAGGCCAAGTCTTGAAGACACAGTCCAGCCTTTCAGAAGCTCTCACATACTTCAGATTGGGACTCAAGAAATGAACACATAAAAAGATGAAGGAGTGGTGCAAGACAATACGTACGTATGGCGAGTGGCGTTGCTGAAAATGCTAGTGATGTTTAGTGGAGCAGTAATTAGTTTCTGCAAATTTCTATTGAGCTCCTGAGACCAGAGGAGGGAGAACCCTGGGATCAGGACCACTGCATTGAGGTGGGCGACCTTGAACAGTAGATAATATTGAAAGACTTAAGAGAGGAAAGAGCCTCAGGTGAGGAGAAGAGCTCTGACCAAGGCAGCAGTGTGCAGGTTCGTGGTGAGGGGAGAGGCGGATGTCTGGATGGAGAGGAGCCTTTGAGTCAGAGTGTGGTTGGAAAGGCAGATTGGCATTACCTCGTGTGGAACCTTGAAAGCCAGAATTAAGTAATACTTCCTGTGAAAGCTTTCCTTTTAGGAGATTAATCTGGCAATTGTGTGGCAAGAACTGAAGAGGCAGAAATACAGGGCAGAGAGCCCAGGGAGAACAGCCTGGTGCAGTAATCTGGGATGCAGGTAATTAAAAAAAAAAAAACCCAACTAGAGTATTATCAGACAATAGATATTTGAACGGACTGTTTAAAAGGAAAATTGATGGTATTCAATGATTTATGAGATAGTTGAAGACCAGGGAATTGGAGGAAAAAGTCATTAGCCATAGCCATCAAATAGTTTTTCTTGAAAGAAATCTGAATGTTGGTATGAATAGCATTTTCTCGACTGTTGGGGTAGCTGGGGTAACTGCCTGTGATAAACATGGCCATGATATTTATTTGACTTTTTTATAGCTTTGAATTCCTCCGTGACTGAACAGTGAGCCTCCTAGAATGAACCATGCTTTCTCACCTCTCTCCAAAGCGTCCGGTATATAGTAGGTTTGTTGAATTTAATCTCTAGCTGGGGGTTCCCAATCAGCATTTCAAATGTTCGATCATGCCTGTGGTTGAGGGCATGGGCTCTGGAGTTGTAGATTTTCCAAGTTCTGCTTGTCATCAGCTGTTAACCTCAGGCAAGATAATTAGCTCTCCAAAGTCCCAGTTTCCTCATTTATAAAGTGGGGATAATAATAGTGCCTACTTCATAAAATTATGAAGTCTAAATTAGGTCATTCAGGTAAAGTGTTTAGCATGATTCTTCAAACTTATGGAGTAGCCAACAGAAGCAAATGCCACATATCTGATTTATATGTAAGGGAAGAATGAATCTGAAATTTTCAGGGTTTATGGATTCAAAGTGTGCATTTCAAAAATGTTTTGTAAGAAATTATTTTGGTGGGGAGAATTGAGCTGAATGAAACAAAGAGCTTTCTGATAGCAAAGATAATTAAATGATGCACCCGTCCATTTACTGATGCAAAGAGGGAAAAAAATCTGTGGGGAATGTAGACGTTCATCTTTTGTATCCAAAGCGTACGACAATATACTTAGTAGACGCACACACCTCATTAACGTTAGTAAACCCTTTCATTCCCATCTTTTCACTTGACTTGCCAGCAGTCCTGTGAAGGAGGGAGGATCAGTCTCCACCCTTATTTTGGTGAAGAACTTGAAGTGGCCTTGAGCGCTAGGTGACTGGCAGAGGGTCACACAGCCAGCGTGACAGAGCTGGGTCTCTGGTTCCAAAGGGCTGTTTCTCTTCCATCTGGGCCAAAGGCGTCCGAGGCACAGATGTTTGTGGGAGGAACGAGACACATGCTGGAATGCCAAAAACATAACTGGAAATAAAAGCAGAACACGAGACATTTGTTTCTGTTATAATGTGACAGAGAATCAGGCTGCTGTGGTTTGGGGCTGAGCATTCAGAGACGGAACAGGGAGACGGGACCACTGCAGCTGCTGCTGGCTGCCCATCGCCGGTCTTATGGAAACCAGCTGGACGATGTTCAAAGAAAAGTTCCCGAACGATTAAGGGACTGATGGCATTGATTAATAAAGACAGCTTGAAAGAATTAAATACGCATAGCTCAGCCAAGCAAAGACTAAGGCAAAACAAGACAAGTGTGTAAGAGACCTACAATGTGTAAATATTAGAAAAGGAAATTTATTTAGGATGATACGTGGGGGTAGAAGGTATAGTAATAGGATGAAAATTTGAGCTGAGTATAAAGAAGCCTTAGGATTTCTAAAACTTCCCTGGGAACTAGAAATCAGATGACGTTAGAGAATAATTATTCATTTGGTCAGGTGTGATATTGGTATGCTGGTTATATAAGAAAATAACAATTTTTTTAGTGTTACTATGAAATGTAGGGGTAGAGCAACATGATGTAAGAAATTTGCTTTAAAATACTACAGCAAGGAAAGGAAAGGAAGAAAAGAAAGGAAGGGGGAGGGTGCAAGGAAGAAAATGAAAGATGAGGTTAGAGGAAGTAAGTGTGGCAAAACATCGATAATGTTGAATCTCAAAGAAGATATGAGTTCACTTTACTCTTTCATGTATGATTGCAAGCTTTTATCACAAAGAATGTTAATTATCATTTCCTGAATAAAGCTCAGTTTTTATTAATTCCTGGCGTCCCTGAATAGAGAAACATTATTGCCACACACCAGACTTCTGGTTGACCAGGGCCCACAATTGGTAGGGACACATGCCTCTGTTCACCATCATGCTCTGGTGCTGTAGATTGGACTGGAAGAATGGGCTATTTCTAAAACTCCAACAAAATCCCTAGAATTGTAGGCCTATAGGGGTAGGTTCAGGAGGTAGAATTTCTGAAGTGAGAGCAGAGAGCCGGGGTGTTGAACCATGAACAACTGACCTCCCCTACTGTCCTGCCCCTTGGCCGTGGAAAATACTGGCCATTGAGCAGAGGTCTGGGTGCCTTTGGAATGGCCGTTCTCTTGAGTGAAGACAGTGGATTTCCCTGTTTGCTGCATTTCAAAAGCCAGAAGAGGGGTTCATTTATAAAGGAAAGTGAAGACAGGCTTCAAAACCTAGCAAACACCTGTAAAGCTCAAGTTTAAAAAAATAAGATTTGTAAAAACCACCTCCCCTCCTTTACCTCTGTTCCTGTAAGTGAATGCTTAAGGCAAGAGATTTAAGGAGCATTTGGAATGTATGTCCTTGCTGCTTTTTTGTTAGAGGAATATAAATAATTTATCTGAGTTTCACGGATGGCAATCACGCATGAACATAGACCTGGCACTTCAGACTCCTTGTGTCTGAATTTCTCTGGAGGGCACGAGCTAGGCCCCAAAATGGCAAGTCAGAGTGAGGCTGGTTCCAGCCCAGTATGAGGATGGACCCTATGACCTTTGGCGTTGCGTGGTAATGAAGCACAGGCCAAGCTGCAGCAGCCTGGATGAGTCTGTCTCATGACCGAACACGACTTCTCCTGCCCAGGGTCTCCGTCATGGCCCAGGCCTTATCATCTCTTACCTGGGCAATTGCAGCAGCCATAACTAACCCGTCACACCTCCAGTCTCTTCCTGACGTCATCACGCTCCACCTCACCCTTAGAGGGGCCATTCTGAGACACAGCTGATTGTGACATTGCTCTGTTTAAATCCTCAGCATCTATGTTATAAAGGGTGACAGGGATCATATTTTTGGCCACACGACTGGCACCTCCCACCTCGCGCAGCATATAGACATTCTTCGACGAAGACAGGATTG